TGTACCTGATATTTTCCCTTGGCTTGCCTGATTTCATCATGTAACTTTGGCGTGGGTAAAAAGGTAAAGTTTCAGCATTGCTCTTGGATTTAGCATCAACAAATGAGAATTCCAAATCACTATCTCCTGAAGTAGCCCCATAACTCAAAACAACGGACATGTGCAGACGAGATCCCACATCGGTTTCGGGTCCTGCAGTGTGCAATAAGTCACCAACCAAACGGTCCAAAAATTCCAAGTCCTTAAGACCATTTTCATTTTTGCTAGCTTCCAAGTGAACAAAAACTAAATCAAAGAGGAAGTTTTCCTGTGTCTTCCCATCTTGAAACCCAAGCAATTTCAACAGATCAGAGGCCAAAAGTGGGGACTCGGTTATACAATGAGTTTTACTGCATATTTCATTCCATTGAAATACTTTGAAACCGAGAGCATCCCCAAAATACTTGAGACCTAAATTGTCGGTGATTATGGCTGCCTTCATGCCCATAAACCTGAGATTAGATTTCAAAAACCAAAGAAGTTAGAAAAACTAGTTATTAATTGCTTTCGCTCATAGAGCACGTCACATTCATCAGAAGGTAAGTTGTAAACCAAAAACAAACATCGAGCTCATAAGTGATTTGTCAAGAATAATTAATTTAAGCTAAAAGTCAAGAGTGGCTATCTATATGTATAAGTTAAGTGCAACAAACCCTTCAAAAAAATCACCTCTCGCCTATACTTGGGAAAGGGCTTGGTTTTTGATTCTTATCTTCACTTTTCACATCCTACAGGGCATTGCAGAAAGCCTTTTAGATTTCACATTTTTCAATCAAGTGAATAAACGGCAGCACATTCTTACACACCAAGTTTTCAAATGCCTCATTTGCATCAACTAGCTCAGCGAATTCCCTAATTATCCTCGCATCCTCGTTTTCTGCAGTCTTGCAAGTAAACAAGTAAATTTCAATATGATGTTGAAAACTTGAAAATAAAATCCATTTGGTATGACAACAAACATTAAATCCACATTAATTGCAGCATGTAAGACTTAAGAAAACAACAAATGAGATGTTTTCAAAACCACCTAAATAAATAAATAAATAAATAAAATGGTGTTTAGTCATCACACATACCTCAGAAGAAACACAAAATCTCAAATTATTTCGCAACAATGAATTTTGAATACATATAGGATGAATTTAATAAAAACAACTCACCCTTTCCAAAATCAAACTTTTCCCCTTTTTCATCTCACTTTTTTCTCGCAATACAAATTTTTTCAGAAAAATCTTATACTCAATCGCACCATAAAAGTACACTCCTTTCTCCAACAGACACACAGTTTACAACAAAAATTACAACCTAAATAATATCACCATAAACAAACATGTTGCACAATCTATAGCTATAGGCAAATAGATCAAAGGGTATTGAACATAATCACCTGAAGGAGGGGCATTTGGGAGAGCCATGAAACCGCAGTAGGCCCGAGAAGCGAACGTGTGGAGATGGGTTTGGGTCGGGCTGATGGATCGGGCCAACCCGTCTCCGTACAGTACCAGAGCTCGGCTCGGCTTGTCAGCCATTTTCAGCAAATTGTATGTATATGTGTACGTATAGGCTTCTTCAATGGAGAAAATTGATGAAATTCAGCTCCGATGAGAAGTGAGAGAGCTGCAAAAGTAGCAGAAACTTGAGAAGCAGAGAATCATATTCTCTCTTTTTTGGGTGTTTGTGGACTGTGGTATTATCAATTGGGCTTAATTGGACCATAAAAATTTATGTAAGAATTTTAAACAAGGTCCAGTAGGCCTGTAAATAAAAAGCCTATTTTTGGGCCATCTATCAAGATCTATTCACTATCATTTTGTCCTTATAGAGAAAATTACATCCTCCACTACACATTAATATTTTATTATATATTTACAACTCATGTATATTTATTTGCAAATTAACTAAAACTATGATTTTTATTTACAAACATACTAGATTATTGATCAACAGATAATTATTTGTAATTATGGTAAAAACAAATTTAATGTGATCTATTATTATCACACTTTCTCTCTCTCCCTATCTATTCTACTTCTTCTCTCTCCCTCTCATCATCTTCGTCTTCTTCTACAGATCCGCCGTTGTTCTCCTCCCCCAGTGATGATAGCCTTCAAAATAACTGTGAGCTCATACAAAACAATCTCAGAAATTTGCACAATTTCATCCGTGCTCAAGGGCAAAATGACCCCACCATTAAAATCCCTAAGCTTTTCCTCTCTCTCCTTCACCATGGCTCGGAACCAATTGAGGATTAGGAACGGAAGCGGCTTCATCCCAACACCATCGCCATGGATTTGCAGTGTTTATTTTCGTTTTCCTTTTATCTTTTTTTTTTTTTTTCAGAATTGAATGTGATGTGAAGGGGATCACATGAGAGAGCTATTGAGGGATTAGGAAAACTTCAAGTCTGGTAACTTCGTTTTCGTTTTCCTCTATTGTTGTTGTTTTGTTCGATAATATTAAGATTCAAGTTTGGTAATTTTTTTATTTTTTATTTTGTCTTGTGTACTAATTACTAGGCATTTGAAGAAGTAGAAGGAGGTTATAACGGATGCATATAGGTCAATGTCTATGAATTGCATAAACTCCAGGCTCTAATCTCGATGTTTATGTTGTTTTTCTTGATTTCTAAATCTATTTTCTTGATTCGTATATGTTAATTAGTTCAAGTTTGAAATTGAAATTAGCAAAGAAAAAGACGAAGAGTCTGAGCGATGTCAAAACACCCGAGGCTGTGAAGAAGAAGAAAATCATGACAACTTTTTTGAGAATTTTTTTCGTTTGATTTGTTTTGGGGTATATGTAAATATATGTTCACGGCAGTATATGTTGGATGTTGCGTGTATAGACAGACAGTATATGTGGTGTGTATAGGGAGTATATGTTCAGTATATTAGAAGAGTTTTTTGTAAATTGTTCAGTATATGTTGTGTGTATAGGAAGTATATGTTCAGTATATTAGAAGATTTTTTTGTATAGTAAATATAAGTAACCTGTTATAATATGATTTTAAACTATATATATATTTTTATGTATAAAAGTAAAAAAAAAAACAAGAAGACACAGTTTTTTTTTATGGAAGACATGTTTTTCATTGCAACATATACTGAATATATAATAACATAAACGCAACATATATCCACCTGGACTGCTGCGTGAATTACAATACATGGTTTTATCTCTCTCTATTAAAACGTACAAGTTGCGCAAATTAAGAAATAAAATTAGTTAATTATTTATTATATGCATGCTTTTCATTTCTCTCTCTTAATCATGCTCATGAAAAGAGGGATGGAGGTTGAATGGATATGGTAACTAAATTTAGGCATTAATGTAGTTATATATTATCTATTAAGTAGAGATGTAATTATTTGTTTATGAATTATATTTTTGCAATATTTTTAGAATCTTATAGGATAGATAAAAAATTTCTTTTAGAGGAAATTACATCCTCCACTACACATTAATATTTTTATTATAATAAAATTTCCCTTTAATTTACTTGATCCACCTTGCCAAGTTGCAAACATCTCTACATTTTAACAAGTGTACAAACAATTGGCAATCAAATTAGACAAGTTGTAACGGAGACCTCCTATTTTATTGATTTTAATTTAATAAATATGGTTTACTTTTATTGTTAAATTCCTGTAAATCCCCATCCCCATCCTCATCCCCTATCTATTAATTCAGAACGTGATGAACCTAAGTGGCAAACTCGCATGCTTCGGGATCTTATGTGGCAAAATTAGAGCACCCACAATTCTTTAGGTCTCTTTTTGCATATGTGGCAAATAAATAGACTTAAGTCTATAATGACATAGACAAACTCAAGCTAAACAGTCCAAAATTTATCCAATGCAAAAAATACAATAATAGTAAATGATTGTTCTTGTAAGGTTCACACTTGGGTCCAAAATAGACCCAAGAGTGGACTTGGTCTCTTTTTTTTATTGCCACATAAGCTAGACTAGGTCCACTTTTAATTGCATTGTGAAACACTTTTTTATAGACTAGGTCTATTTCCTACATGGCATGTGGTTTTTTATAAAAAGACCCAAAGCATTGTGGGTGCTCTTAGAGTATCCACAATGCTTTGGGTTCAATCCCAAAAAATTATATGTCGCCTAAAAAATAGACACAGTCTAAAATAATATATTCTTCAACGCAAATTAAAGTCCTGCTGATGTGGCAGCCAGAAAAAGAGACCCGGTCTACCCTTAAGTCTATTTTAGACCCAAGTAGAGACCTAGTCTCTTTGCATTGGAGTGGATTTTGTTAATTTTACATAGTTTTATCTATGTCATCCAAGACTTGGGTTTATTTACATGAAACATAAGCAAGACTAGACCCAATACATTGTAGATGCTCTTACATGCTTTGTTATTAGGCTTGAGTAAATTTTAATTTAATTCTAATCCAAAAATAATTAGGTCTGGATTACCATACATATGTTGATTATTTATGGTCATGTTACATTTATTAATTGTATTTTAATATCAATTCTTATTATAACCATTGAATTGTAAATGTATTTTAAAAGTTAATAACTTTTGTATTTTTTATCAGTTTTACATATATAATATATCAAATTAATCATCTCCTGATGAGCTTCGATTTAACATCCATATTGTATGTATAAAAAATAAATAAATTATATTTATCTTTATAATAATAATAAAATTATTTTCTAATATTACTTAGAAATATATAATTATTTATCAATGAATATATTTATATTTCAAGTAGTTATATGATATAAGTTATAAAATTACTATAATATAACACATGTAAGTCATAAGTAACAAGTGTCATTCTAACATAATATAATAATATATATTTTTTGTAAAAAAGTAAATAAAATTTAAAATAGTTTCCTCATTAATTTTATAATTTAAGAATAATTTTTTAACAAGCACCCGTGTAATACACATGTGTTGTACTATTATATATAATTACAAAATACGCTGAGCCTAAGTGGCAGACTCACACGCTACGAAATCTTATGTGGAAAATTTCATGCTTTGTCATTTGACATAGATGAATTTTAATTTATTCCAATCCAGAAATATCTAAGCTTGGAATATCCATATATAATGGATATTTATGAATATTTTTAAGAGCATTAATTATGTTTTGATATTATTTCTTATTCTAGACGTGGTTTGTAAGGCTTATTTTTTTTCTACAAACTTTGTTTTATAATTATAAAAAATTTACTAACATAAATTATAAATATATTAAAAGATAATATTTTTTTATTTATTATCAATTTTTCATATATAATATATCAAATTAATCATGTCTTTATGAGATTCATTTTGACATCTATATTGTACATAAAAATAAATTAATAAATAAATTTATTTTTATAATAAAAATGAAATTATATATTAATATTAATTCAAAAAAATATTTAAATTAATTTAACTAGAAATTAGTTATATGTTATAAGTTAAGAAATACTTATAATATAAGATGTTAAGTCGTATAAGTGGCGTATGTCATTTTAAATATAAATAAAAATATAATTTTTTTTAATTTTAATTTTAAATATAATTTTTGTAACAAGCACCCGATATAATGCACGGTTATTATACTAGTAATATACATATTTCAAAAAGTTAATTGCATTTTCATATACTTAGGGTCAGTTTGATTGCACTTTTTGATTGAGCTTGATAAATTCCCATGTCAATTATTAGCTTTATCCATTCAATTTAATATAGCCTATTAACTCGTTTGTTTTCCTTTTGATATCAAGCCCAATAATCTACTAAAATGTTTGGTTTAGATATTAATAACTCACAATCTCTAATTTTTCCACTTTCTTCCACAGATACCCTCACATTGCAAGACACCATCACCTTCTCAGAATTGTCTTTCCACCATTGTCGCCTCCAAGACCTCTGAAATCGTAAATCAAATTCGGAAATTCATGGCCACCAGCGACTCAGTGGGCTCACCACCCAGGAATCACCGATGAACTTGGCCTGCTCGACGATGGAGCTCGCTTGCCGGGCTTGAAGAACAGTCGGTCGATCTGAGCCTTTCAAGGTGTCTCTGGGAGGCTTTGGCCGCGGCGAAGCGAGTCGGCGGTCGCCGAGAGCATCTCCGATGGGCTAAGATCGTGAATATGAAAGAAAAATGATTTTTCGTGGATCTAAAAGAAACTTGGATTTTCGACGAGCGTCTCCGGCCACGGCCACCCGACCGTGGATTTTCCGTGGATCTGAAGAAAATGAGAATTTCACTTGCCCTTCCCAGTCAGATTTCTGGTGCCACAATGAGGGGCCTCAGGGCGTCCTCCTTCCAGGCGATCTGCCGGAAATCATGCTTTCCGGTGGCGAGTTAGGGACGATGTGGAAGAAGAAGGTTGCGATTGAAATTGGTTGGGAATGGCATTGGTTTAGTTTTGACGAACTTTGGAATATTTATGTAATTAAATCTTTTATATTTAAAAGCGTGATATGGTATCACACCAACAAGATGGGATATGGCATAACCATATTGTGTGATACTACACCGGGCTTAAGACATTTACAGGGCTTAAAAGATTTCAACCAAACAAATTAAACACATGGAAATAATACCAATCAGCTTGATATCCCTCCTAATAAGCCCAACCAAACGGAGCCTTATAGTAGTGTATTCTAAAAAATTTCTCCTTTCCCTTTTCTTTTTCTCTTTCTTTATTGAGCAAATCACATAACTTAAACACCATTCTTTCCTTTCAAAGCCTGCAAAAAATGCAGAGTCCGTACCAAAATAAATGAAATCCCAGTCTCGCACACACAAACAAACACATTTATAGAGGCCTTTNTGCACACAGATAAAAAAAAGTTCGTCAAAGATCTCCTATCAGATCCCACCATTAAACGCCCTTCCAATTTTGCTTGCATCATCATTGCATATAGTACACTAACACTGTTCTTGCTTCCTATCTCCGACCATTTTCTCTCTCCCTATATACCTGTGAAATTGAAAGTATATCATAAATTCTTATGTGACAGAAGTTAAACTTGGTCCACAAACATTTCTAACAAAAAATTTCACATTTTTTTATGTTATTTATAACATATGACATTTCAATTTTAAAGTTTATAAATGTTTATAATTCTATTAAAAACAGCTTGAATGTATATAATGGAAAAATCCACCTTAACACTTTGCTATGTATGCTTTCACCAATAGAACTGAATTTGTTGTATATACATTTGTTTCACCGCATTTAATGACTAAAAGTACACTGATTGTGCAACAGTTTTTGTAATAGAACCATTTTTCTTTCTTTTTTTTTATTTTCTTTTTTTATTTCTACTTGCCTTAAGCCCTCACTTGTTTGATTCAGGTAAAAAAAGGTATGTTGTTTTCTTACTCCATTTTACTCACTTGTCTCATCAAGCTCTCAACAAGGATAAAAGGTAAGACCTCTTTCTTCTCCAAACAAATAGAGACCCATGAAATTTTTTTCCTGCCATTCACATGAGAGAGATAAGTTCAGATATTTTTTTGTTTGTGATTATCATTGCAAGGGAATGGGAGGGGAGCAGATAAAATATAAGATCAGTAATGTGTGTGGTGTGTGAGAGAGAAAGAAAAAAAGAGATAAAAAATGAAATAATGGGTCCACAAAAGGCTGCAAGAAAGAAATGAGTGGAATTGCAGCATCAAATGGTACTATTGCATAATTCATAATCCTCACATTTTTTTTTTCTTTTTCAGCCCATTCTGTTTTATCTTAATCTGTTTTTGGTCCATTTTTTTTTATTTTTTATTTTTTATTTTTATTTTTATTTTTTTAATCTTAATCTGTTTTTGGTCCATTTATTCATTTCATTACTTCAATACCCTCCCTATAGCCCTATCTGATTTCTTGCAGGAAAAAGGTCTTGATGGCTTGTTTTAGTTGTTAATACTTAAATAGTGCTTGTTTACCTTAAAAGTTGTGATGGCCCTTTGTATCTTTGTTTGCCGAAAAAATGAATTACCTTGTGGTTAATGTTAGAATCTAGTGTGAAAAGGAAGAGTCTTTTTTGAAGAAAGATTATGGAGATTCTTCATGATTCTTGATGAGTTTTTTCCTTTTGTTTTCTCTCTGAAAGCTCTGAAATTTTCTCTGTTTTTATCTTTCTTGGGCTTTGAATTTCTTGGATGAAATCCCCACTTTGCCTTTTTTTTCCCCTCTTTTGCTTGTTCATGCAAGTAACATTAACAACAGCTAAGTTTATGGGAATTTCTTGGCATATTATTCTTTGTTACGTAGTATTTTCAGAATTGCAGTAGGGGCTTATGGGAAAAAAAGTACTTTTCCACTGTTTTTTTAGTGCATGAGTAGCTTTTTCTTCATTGTTTTGTTTTAGCTTCTTTTTTACTACCTTATTCCTTATGGTAAAAGGGTAAAAAGAAGAACCCAAACATAAAAAACCAAAAAAGAAAAAAAACTTGTTAGAAAAAAAAAAAATATCCAGTCCCTTTTTGATTGTACACTGTTGGGGGAGAAAGGGTAACCAATGATTTCCTACAAATGGTTTCTGATTATAGATTCAAAGCTTCNTTTTTTTAAACATATTTTACCTGCAATGCATTTTGAGCTCTTACATTTTTCCAGCAAAGGCCTGAAGAAGAACTTCCATATTTGAGACCACCGCAGTTATGTCTGTTTCTTGCAACTATTTCAACTCCAAAAGGTAATTAAACTTTGCACAATAGCAATGCAAATTTTGCCCGTAAATGTCTTGTTTTTTTAGATAATTTGTACATCCATTCATGCTTTTGTAAATTGGGTGCATTTTTCCCTCCTTTCATAATGTTGTAGTGCATCTCTTGACAATTACTATATTTAGTCATATTCTTGTGTTCTGTTCTGTTCAATCTTTTCATATGATTGTGCTGAGAGATAATTTTCCCATCTCCCCATAAATTTGATTTTTCTTTCTATTTATCTTCTTTTTTAATTTCCTTTTCTTGTTGGGACCATGATGCTTGAAGCTGATCATGCCTGCTACATTTCCATGTTGGTCTTTGAGGAAAATGAAATTAAAAATGGGGTAATGACTATCTTGCTTTTGATAAATTCAAGATTTTTTAAGAAAAATATATTACTTAAATAGGAAATTCCAATTGTCTTGGATTCTTTGCNTTCCTTTTTTGTTGTTTTTGCACTGCATGACTGCTAGTTTCTTGAAAACTATTGGTCTAGTGTTTGCCTAGTTCTATATGATGAAGCTATATGCATATATGTGAAAAATCTAAGCTCTTACTGATTTTATTTTATTGAATTTGCCAGGAGATAGTACTTGCTTACAAATCATCAATTCCTTCATTGTTTTGGTGGAAAAAAAAAAATTAAAAATCTTTGTCAACATGCAAACAGACACAAATGGTTTACATTCTGTTACAACACAAACCAGCTCATTGTCCACAGCCTTAACCAACCTTAGTTATTCCAATTCACTCAATCAACAACCTATGAACGGCTTCGATTCTGCCGAGATGGAAAATCGAGTCACAATAGCCAATCTCGACGAGTTTTGCAGCGCCCAACGAGGAAAATATGTTCGAAATTTCCCACCCGATGCATTTTATCCCCAAGCCTTCGATTTTCAAGCCGCAAACCGATTTTTCGTTAATCAAGAAAACTTTATCAATCCAAACAACCCCTTTGAGTACGCTGAAACTGGCTCGTCAAACGCCGCGAACACTTCGTACGGGACTATGAGTCTTGCCACGTCAGCACCTCCTCCTGTTTTGCGCGGGAGCTCGGATTTGAGCTCGTGCAGCAGCAAAAATGCTTCTTCAAGCCTCGACTCTCATGATCATCAAGTCCAATTAACCCCCGGTTCAAGATTTGTGCGCGCAGTGCAAGAAATACTTGCAGAGATTTCCCGTTATGCCCTCGAGCATGTTGACTACACGAGTTATCCCGGATTTGACTTTCCCTACCGCGATCCGTGCATGTTCAACCACTTGCACGAACGAGATATCGTAGTTCGGAAAAAGCACCTACTTTCCTTACTGCAATTGGTAAAAGAAAAAATCGGATTTTTCCACTTTTGTATTTTAGTTAGTTGGCATTTGCTGAAAGATGAAAAGTTTTTACTTTTTTTTTTTTCTAACCAAGAAAAGATCGATTTTTTTTTTTTTGGGAAAAGGTGGATGAGCGGTACAGCCAATGCATGCACGAGATTCACACAGTGACATCAGCTTTTCATGCGGTGACTGAGCTGGACATGAACCTACACGCGCGTTTCGTGCTCCCTGGAATCTCTTTCATGTACAGAAATCTGAGAGAAAGGATTAGCTCACACATTCTTTTACTAGGACAATCGAGCCATAACGATGGGGACTCTGGAGAGAATAATTCATTCGAGACGAGCTTCATTCAGAAGCAGTGGGCTTTGCAGCAATTGAGCAAGCAGGATCACCAGCTGTGGAGGCCACAAAGAGGCCTGCCAGAAAAATCTGTCTCGGTTCTGAGGGCTTGGATGTTTCAAAACTTCCTCCACCCGTAAATTTCCCATTTTCCTGCTCGGTTCTTTTACTTTACTTGGAGAAAAAAGTTTTTTTTTTTTAAAAAAGTTTTTTTTTTTTTTTTGGTTTTTAGTGAATAAAATACGAACATAAATATACAGGTACCCGAAAGATGCAGAGAAGCACTTGCTAGCTTTGAAAAGCGGTCTCACGAGGAATCAGGTACATATATATGGAACTATTTTCACTTGTGTTTTGTATTAAAGATATACTTCCTTTGCAGGCATTAGTGACTATATGAAGTTGGATTTTTGTGCTCTTTTTATTAACAGGTTTCCAACTGGTTTATAAATGCCCGTGTTCGATTATGGAAGCCGATGATAGAGGAAATGTATGCAGAGTTGAACAGGAGAAAAGCTTGCAGAAATGAAGAGGCTGAGGGGAACCACAGAAAAACTTATGTGTTATGAGAGTAGAAGTATTTGCTATGGATTGAGTTGTGGGATAAATGTAATGTTATTTGTATTATGCTATGTAGTTGTTCTTTTGATCTGTATCCTTGGAATAGTATATAGTATGGGAGGATATGATTACAAGTGTTTGAGATTTAAGTTACTGGCCTTTTTTGGGCTTCTGCTCAACTGAGACATGTCTTTAGCATTTCGCGTTTATGTGATATTTTCAACAAAGGTTTGAGATTACGTGATAATTAATGTTCATGGTTATATTAGGTTATATGAGAAGTTATGGGTAGAGTTACTATTCGTACGGAATTATTCAAGCACAGTTTGATTCAGCTTTGTAAAAACTCAAGTTCGGCAAGTTCATTTACTTGAACAAACCGAACTTGCACAGCTAATCAAACTCGGTCGTTTAAATGGGTCATGCCGAGTTTGCTAACGAACAACTCGATTTTTAGTTTTTATTATGGATTAAAATGAAACAATTGAGTCAAAGTTGCGATTTATTATTTTCCAGCTATATCATTATCACAAGTATTACAATTATTCCAAAGGTATACAAAATATTAAGTCTAATTCTCCACTAAACTTTCATATCACCTTGTGTAGCTTTCCCCTATCTATAACAAACAATACCTCTGCTTCTTTCAAACTAAATTTATCCCTTCCCCATTTCATCTACATGGAAATTTCCCCCCAACAAATCGCCATCCAGCCAATAGTGCATGCAAACAAGGTCCTTTGGTTTCATATTATACAGAGAAAAAACTTAGAAAAACTTGCCTTCGATCTTTTCTCAAGATCTCACACTTGTTCCTGAATCTTGGTTTTGATTGGCTTTAGCTTCAGCCCCATGCTTTCTGGTGAGAATAGCTCGGGAGAGATGCATGTCGGGCTCAACGGGCTTCTTGGGCTTATATTGGATTCTGACGGTCTGTAGAAGCCATACCCCATGAGAAAATATTCCAACGGTATCAACAAAGCTTCTGGCTGTTCTTCACTAACCAGCGATCCACATGCTTGAACCTGCCCATGCAAACAGTTCAATTTTCTACACGGATAACTAGAAAATAATATGAAGGTTTAGCCGAACCTTTTCAAATACAAATAATAAATAAATAATCAAAAGATACTAGTTAAGGTTTGTTTTCTACAAGATATTTGTAAAAAGTTTGCAACCTCAAAGAATGAGAGACGGTTTTAGTTTTCCTTTTGTAATTAAGTAAAATCTTGAGGTAGTATTTGTTATTATATTCCTTGTCCTTGGCATAAATGCATAATCCAGAAGGAGCAGTTTTGGGCACCTCAACCAAGGCGCTTAATCTACCATCAAGCTTTGATGTCATGTGGAGGGCCTCATAGTGGAAAAGAGAGTTTTCCCCAACAAATATCAAAGTTCGGCACTTTAGGTTCCTCAAGCCTTCGGTGATATCTGGTCTCCTGAAAAGGCATTAGATGATAAGAGAGTAAGGGACAGTTTTTGTTTTAATTTTACTTTTTTATCAAGAAGCTAATGATCAGCCAAATGTGGCTTATAGTTATAAAAATGTTGTCTCGTTGTCAGGTGTTTGCTTCACTATATATATTCGACCTCGCCAGGAATAATTACGAAATACTTGAGGTTTAACCAATTACAAAGCATTCCCATTATCTTTATCTCCCGAGATTTGTACAACTTAAAATACCCCCTATCGAGCATGCAATTTTTAGAATAGGGAAAAAATGTAAAGGCTTTATGAGATTTGTACCAAAGCACTTTCGTACAACTTAAAATACCCTATAGCGTGTTTTTATGCTAGGGTAAAAATGTACAAAATCTTTAGAAAAAAAAAAAGAAAAGAAAGAAAGATCATACCCGTTGATAGCTTCAAGAAACCGAAGCACATTTGGGCTCTGCCTTTCTCCTAACAACTGCAATTATCAATATAAAAGTGGTTGTGAGGTTTAGAGTCTTTCATGGTGTTATATAAAATGAATGGGAAGAAACATATAGCACTAACTCGTCTGCATGATTGAACGGTATCTGATTCTGGTACATCCACACTGCCCCGATGTTCCTGCCGAATCATTACAAATCCAAATCATTATAAATCGATGATCCCACTGTTTTCTGCAAATTGGGTCATAGTGTTGTATAATATGCTTACAAGTACCTTGCTGAAATACCGTATGAGCAACAACTCTTTTGCTAGACCACACATCCCACACATGTAAAGTAAGTTGGATAATACCTGCAACATTGTTTTACCAGTATTAAG